GGTTTAACGTAAAGTCAAAGCATGGTGCAGTTTAGAATAGACATGTTCAAACATCTGTGTGTGTGTGTTTAAACATATTGGTTTAAACATCTTGGCGTTTAAACAGTTTAAACCTGGTTTAAACAGTTTAAACATTCGGTTTCGGGGGCCCGTGTTTGTTTAAACATTCCGGCGTTTAAACAGTAAATGTTTAAACAGTTTAAACAGGACCCTCTGCCCAACCCTGGCGTAGTCAGGACGACAAATCAGCCGTAAACCTTAGACTCTGAACCCTGAACCTGGGGTAATAAGGAGCTTAACACCACAAAGCCCTAAACCTCAACATGAACCCTGTTGCATCGGGCGTTGTGTACATCTTCAGGTGGGCCTGAGAGGGAGACGGCCTGGTCTGAAATCCTGAACTCGCGAACCCGAAGCCCAGCACCAATCGTAGTCATTCCATGTTATGAAATATCATAGCATATTCTGTCAGATTAGTCCAGGTCGTATCAGAATGTACTGTACTCTACGAAAATGCGTTATATTGTATTGTCGTCCCATTTACGTCACAGTGGCTTCCCTAAGTTTTTGAGAAATCAACTTCGGCAGCAGGAAGGAGCTGCCATCATCGGACCCTCTGGTCTGGGCCTCGGTGGGTGGGTTGGGGTTACTACTAGTTCGTGTTACTTTCAGTCATTTGTACTAACGTTTTTGGTAGATATTTGTAATACTCGTAGATATTTAGTAGTAGCGGTGTGTATTATTAGTACTCTTACCGCTGCTGCTCCAGCTTCCGCGTTCCAAGCCCTCCGAACGACTGGAGCGACTCTGGTCCATGGCCTTGTGGCTTCTGGTCCTGATTGCGGTCTTTGCAGGGGCACGGGCCACTGCAAAGGAACGCTTTGAGCAGTTTTATAACGGTCTGAGTGAGGTGGAGTGCTCGATAAGGGTGGATTGCCAGGCAAGATACGGCAACGTGCCTGCAGTCGAAGCACTTCTACCCAGCATTTACTTTCGGTGCGATGGATTGGCAGAAGCCGCCACGTTTGGCAAGACATCCGTCGTCGAGTACTTGCTGGACAATGCCAGGAATTGCAGCACAACAGAGCCGCTGGTGGAAGCGGCTAGCGAAGGCCAGGTGAAGGCCGTCGAAGTCCTTCTAAAGCACAACGACACAACGGACTACCGAAACTCAGCCGGCTCCACGCCGCTCACGGGAGCTGCTCAGAATGGCCGTCAGGAGACCGTGTCGGTGTTGCTGGGGCACAAGGCAGATCCTGAAATGGGGGACAAGTACAACCTCACAGCGCTCATGTGGGCTGCTAAGAACGGCCACAAGGAGGTGTTCCAGGTCTTGCTCCAGTCTGGAGCCACCCTCGAGAACCCGTGGGCCATTGATGCCAGCAACAATTTGCCCATCTATAGTCAGATCGAAGACAAGGACATCAGGAAATGGTGGAAGTCCCGGATGAGCAACTTCTCGCAAGTGCAGATGGTGTTTACCAACCCCAGGACATACTATGCCATCATCGGTGGAATTCTTTCAGCGCTCTTCATGGTCGTTGTGCTTCACAAGCTGGAATCTTATTCCAAAGGGGTAAGAGCGGTCCAGCTGGTGGCTCAGGACCAGTGTGAGTTCGGACAGGGGGCTTGGCTTCTTGTAGCCAAGGCCGAGAAGCAGGACACGAGGACAGGAGGTACTGTACTCCTCCTCTTTCGAATGCTTGAAGCCTTCGCCAACATTGTGGCAGTCTTTGGCTTCGGAATGGTACGGATATGGTGGGTCCAGTGGCTCCCAGTTGTGACTCTGGCCTACCTTTTCCCGGCGCTCCATTACTTGAGACACCGGAGCTTTTTCGCGCTTTTGCGAAAGCCGGCTTTGGTCATTGCTGCCCACAATCCCGGCAGTGCGCTCGTCGCACTCCTGCGCATGACAGTCTTGGGAGGGATCGTCTGCTTTTATAGTGGCACCAGTCCTGCGATGAAGCAGGTGAACGCACGGTTGAAATCGGATTGGGGTGGACAGATGTTGCTGCCCGATGAAGCTTTCACATTGCCACTACCACAGGTGACCATGAGGAAGCTGATCCAGATATCTGCTCCCCTGGCTATGGTCTTTGTCCTTGCCTACATGTTGGCGCTCCTGATGTACATTGCATTGTCTTCGGCTATCGAGGCCGAGGGGTGACTGCATCTTCTGCAACTGCTGCTGCTGCTGCTACTGTTACTCCTCCTACTCTTATAACTACCAATACTACTGCTAATACTGCTTCTCCTACTAAGACTAGTACACGGACTATGCAAGTGCGAGTGCCAGTGCTTGTGCCAGTGCTACTGCCACTGCTGTTACTGCTTTTGTTACTACTGCTGCGGCGACAACACTGCATGGAAAGGTGTTCTACCCTTACCACCATTACTACAACAACTACTAGGACTACTCCTACTCTTACTCCTTACTTCTACTCATGCCTTTTTCGGTTACCACCTAGGGTCGGTTACCCCTTTTTTGGTTAGCTAAATTCTAAGTTGTCCGATTTCACAGGTCCCCTGTGACGACTAGAGTCACTTTTGTAGGAGTCTGCGATATCGTGCATCATTGATCATCCCTGAATGCGCCGTGACGACTAAAATCTGTAGAGGGTTCTGCTGTATTCTGCATTGCTGTTCTTCTTGAGTTCCCTGTGACGAACACATTGTGTTGACCGTGTGTAAAACTTTTCAATAAGATGTTGCCTGCGTGCCCGTGTTCATCGCTGAGCTCATCCCCGTGACTACTAAAGTCCGGGACTAGTAGAGTCGTGGAGGAGGTGTGCCGTTAAAGTCTGGGGTCGTGGTGCACCGTGGCCACTAGAGTGCGGGAGGGGTGCTTGAAAGGAATTTAATGGTCACGGCTCCGTGACCAACTAAGTTTCGAGAGTGCTGGTAGGCCCCAAGAGAGCAGGCACGAGGAATTTAATGGTCACGGCTCTGTGACCATTAAATTTCGGTAGGGCCGCCCGCAGGCACCAAGAGAGCAAGCACGAGGAATTTAATGGTCGCGGCTTCGTGACCACTAAATTCCGCGGGCTGGGGTGTGGGGTAGGCACAGGCTGAAGGAATTTAATGGTCGTGGCCTCGTGGCTACTAAAGTCCGGGAGGTGTGCCGTCAAAGTCTGGGAGGGGTGTAGGGTACCGCGCGCGTGCGCGGGCGCCACAACTTCACGCCCGCCGGGCACGCACGCTCACACACTTGGGCCCGCCCGCCCGCCCGCCCAGACAACAGATGGGCAAGCTTCAGAGTCATCAGCTAGGCCACATCATTCGATATTTTCTGTCTGCGGGGCTGTGACCTAGACAATATCGGGTGCCTCTGTATTAGAGTGCTCATGGCTCCTACTGCATGCAGGGCTGTCGGGCGTGACAAAAAAATTTGGGGGTTTCTTCCTTAAAGGGTTCAACCTGCCTTCTGTATGCAGTGCTGTGACCTATAAATTTCCGGGGGCCTACTATGGCCTACTTCTTAAAGTGTTCCTAAGCTTGCTTCCGTATGCGGGGCCGTGACCACTAAAGTCCGGGTGCCTATTTCTAAAAGTATTCGTGATTGATAAAGTCGTGGGGTTCAATTCAAAACCTGCCATGACCACTAAATTCCGGCGATATGTGGACCAGCACATGACCAGCATATGCTGGTCATAGGGCGGCCATCAATGGGGTAATTGGAAGGGGGAGTACCCGGGAAATGTATATTTCAGACGTGATCTGCGAGCTTACATTATTCCTCCGAAAGCCCGACAAATTGATTCTGGGGAGGAGGATAAACTGTGTGGTGGACGAATAATAACGTCCACTCCTATTCTTAGTCCTAGTCCTAGTTCTACTCCTACTCCTTCTCCTGTGCTGCTGCTGCTGCTGCTGCTGCTGCTCCTGCTGCTGCTGCTGCTGCTGCTGCTGCTGCTGCTGCTGTCTGTGGTTGTCCGAACCCCCCGGCCATCTGAAATTATTCGACAGAGCACATGCAAGGTGGTGTGCAGAAGACGAATGTTGTTAATGACAGCACTTGAACAGTGGCATGCTGGTGTCTGTCCTGCTACCAGCATAATGTAACAACCACAGCACGAACCAACAACGAGAGCAACAGCGCGAAGAGCAATCGCAATAAGCAGCAATAATTTCGACTGATAGTAACAACACGACAGCAGTCAGCAACAAACACAGTACGAGCGGATGCAATGTCAAAAGAAGCAGCAGAAGAAGCAGCAGCAGCAACACCAGACGCAAAACAACCGCCATCCCAGACAGCAATTGCAGCAACAACAGGGCTAATTCAATTGGTTGCAGGGTGGCCCCAAGGTGTTTCCCCGTCAGCTTGAGGGCCCGCCTTTCGAAGCTCGAAAGACTTTAATCTTCTTGTTCGCGGTCTCCTCATAGACTTTGAGAAACTCCCCCCCTATCACTCCGGAATCCCTACACCTTATACCTAAGCTTCTTTTCCCGCGGATGGAGGAAGTCACGGACATTGAGGACGAGGTAAGGGAGCTTTTGAAGGAAGCGCAGAAAGCCGAAGAGGAGAGGGAAAGAAGGAAAGCAGCCCAGGACACGAAGAACGGAATGTGTTTTTGCTCCTCTGCCTCTCGTGAAAGAGTCGTTTTCGAGCTGCCCGATCATGATAAACAGGTACCAGGGGAAATTGGCTTGCAACATCCGTGGGCCGCTGAGCTGCCTGTACGGCAAGGCCTTCCTCTACGTTTTGGACGTGGGCCTTGACCTCAACACAATCTACACGCTCGTGGCCTCGAGCAACTTTATCTTCGCCGGTGTGCTGACGGCAATCATCTCTCGGACCTTTTTCCATGAGCTCATGCAGGGGCGAAGTCCGGCCAGCATACGAGACTCTTTGTATAAGAGCACGGAAAGGGGCATCATGCACAAAGACTTGCTGGAGATGCTGAATGAGGAGAAGTCATTCGAGGGGGTGCTGAGCCTTGCGCTGACATCCTACTCCTTTTTCTTCTGCACCTTGATGCCTGTTCAAGCCATCGTGCAGGCATTTAGCATTACCCTGAGTGCTTACGGCGTGGTCGGTGGTCTCTACGAGCTGATCGACTTGAATCTGATTGAAAAGAGTGCTCCCAGCATGTCGCAGGAGATGCAGACAGGCTTCCTTTGCGGAGCTGACAGCGACCCAGAGTTGTCCGAGTCTGAGGTTGTAAAGATAGATGAGTTTGAGGACCTTGAGAACTGAGACACATCTCCGTCGGCATTCTGGTCCGCTCCAAAGCTGGGCGGACTCGGAGTGCGTCGGCGAAGCTGGTGTTTTCAGTTTTCTGCTGATTTCGGGTGGGTTCCCAGGTCCTTGGACTGAGCCCAAGGACTTTGCGACTTGCGTATCACCTCACCCGACGGGCCAATGCTGACGAGGGAGCAGCAAGGTGTGGGCGCCCTCCGCATCCTTTCTTGGGCGTATTTGGGAGTTTCAGGAACCCCGGGAAACCCGAATTTCGGCCCCAAGTACCAAGATCGCAGAATCCTGTATCTAGCTGAGGACGAGGATCCGTAGAACCCGAAGCCCCCAAGCCCCGAAGCCCAGGCTCTCACAGCAAGCAGATCTCCGAGATGACGGGATCCAGGCCCCCGAGGGCCACAGGGGTATCCTGCTTGGCCAGCTGCAACGTTCCGTAGTCCAGTAGAGTACTGAGTACGATACGTACGTCAACATACCACAATAGGCTATACCATACTAATGCACTAATGCGAGTACGGACACAAAGACTGTTACGAAGACTGATACGACTGCAAATACGATCATGAACACAGATGGGAATACCAATACTGGTACTGATACCCATAGTCGTACTCATACCCATACTCATACTCGTACCTCTACTCATACTCACACTCACTACTAGGTACCACGTACTGAACATTAAATACAAATACTAATGCTATGTACAGTTTTGGCGGCCTGGCCTAAGCCCGAAACCCTAAAACCCCAAATCCCTAAACCCTGAAACCCTAAATCCTTTGTAAATTAACTCCCTAGACCCTAATTCCAAAACCCTAAAACCCGGAATCTAAACTCTAAATCCCTACACTGTCCTACACCTTAAATCCCTAAATCCTTAAACCGTCAACAATGCAGAGAGATCGACCGTCGAGCAGGTTGCATCTGAGCAGCAAGGGCGAGTACTACCCGGGCACGCAGCTGCAGGACGGGAACCCTGGGTTTCAGGGGTGTTCGATTTTTTTCCCTGTGGTTTTAGATTCTTAGTTTTTGTTTTCTTTCGGGTTGTAGGGTTTAGAGGCTCGGGCCTTGCAAACTTCTCAAAAATGCTGCTTTGCTGCGAGGCTTCGCCCCCCGGTGCTGAAGACCTCTGAAGCGAACCCGGCAGGAATGCTGCTGCTCATTGCTGCGCTTCGGCTGCTGCTTCATGATGACAATGGTGATGATCATGTGCATGATGATGACGAGGAGACGAGGACTTTTTGGATGTTATCGCCAGTATGCAGGCGATGGCGACTGCTGCTGTTGTTGCTCCTATTTCTACATATTTCTACTGTTGCTCTAATAATACCAGGACTAGTATCCGTGCTTTTTCTTTGGCTTTTCCAGCTTACGCTATCCTTAAGCCAAAGCCCCAAGCTCTACACATCTATGAACCCTATCCTCGCAGGAGATGTTCGTCAAGGGCCCTTCTGCAGACAGCGTCTCAAACTGCGTCCTGCAGGCCAAACCCATTTGGGTTGTCAGTCGCTAGAACTTCAGGACGTCTAAGCATATTTCGGCTTCAGGGTCGCTGAAGGCTTAATTAAAGTAGAAGCTTGTTGCGGATTTTCGGTTTATGGTTCAGGGTTGCGCTGGAGATTGCCGTGATAAGATCAAAGACCTGGGCACCCGAGCGCAGCGGCAGGATGCAGGGAATCTTGATTTTAATGGTTGAGTGTTTTTGGGTCCGAAGAAATGTCTCGGTCTTGTAAGATCTGGCACTGACTGCGCAAGGAGTTTTTGCCCCTCGCGCGGGTTAGCCGTCTAAGCCCCTGAAGATCCTCCGAGCAACCCGTAGGCATGGTACAGTAAGCCCTGAACGGCATGTGAACCGGAAAACCACTAGGCCCGAGAGCCCTGCAGAGCCCCGTTTGTAGCATCCCAGAAGCTCAAAGCTTGACGGTGCCTGTCATGAACGGCACCAAAGTCTCCACTTGCAGCAGCCAGAGAAGCTCTTCAGGTTGTTGTTTTAGGGATCATGAGGTCGAGGATTTAGGTGTAAGGACGCCTTAGGAAAGGGGCTGGGGTGCTAAACCCATGATCGTGGTGACAGGCCACCCTCTCCCCAGGCATTCCAGTATCAGCGGCCCACGTCGCAGGAGTCATCTCAGGGCCAGGGCCAGGGGGGGTTGTGGTTGGCGGGCAACATGAAACAGAGAACTTAGAGACGTTCTGTCCACATTGGAGTCCTGTCACTTCTTGGCAGCAGGGAGCCGAGGCTTTCCATACTTCAACACAAGGAGGGGGCTTCCTCCGCCCCGGCTATGGGCCTCCTAAAAGCCGCGTGGCATGTTCGACACCCGCCTGCTTGCTCATGGTATCATCAAGGATGATCTGCACCGACATGCGGGACATCTGCAAAGCAAAGAGTTGAGCCCAACAGTTGCCTTGACTGTTTCCAGCTTGTGCCCGGGGACATCAAAGCGAATCATGCGGATCTGCAAGCAGCATAACCTTCGCCCCCGGTTTGTTATGCCGGTTGAGGGAAGAAGACGAAGCAGCGAATAGTGCGTTTGCAAGAGTCACATTTTCACGCCCCGGTCAAAGCATGAAGACCCCAATTCCCGGTGCACATCTTGTCTAGCCCGAATTTCGAGTCTAAAAAGGCCAAGGCCAAACCCACCGATTCTGCAGCGCCACTCGCTCGTACGACGACGATGGCGATGCCCCCTGCTACTGCTTGGCATCCAATGTCCCCGAGCCTGCACAGCATCCGTAGTTTGTGTTCCGTGAACCTTTCGACCACTGGCATGACCGCAGGTGCTGAGCAAGCTTCAGGAGGAGACCGGCAGGAGCGGGATTGGCGTCTGTTTGAAAATCCGGAGCGGGCCTGCTTGGGGCTTTGGATTCAGGAAGCCTAAGCCCACAACCCTCAACGCCAAAGCAGCTCCAACATCGTTTGCTGAATCGCGTTGAAGGTCACATCGCCTGCAACCTCAGAAAGAGCCAGAGTCGAAAAGCTCTGAAGACTGCGACGCTAGACTCCAAATCAGGTATGTCGTTCCTGCATCCTAGACTGCACTTTACAAACCTTGCGATTTTCATCGATTTTCTTGATGCTACGATGCCCTTCCGCCTCTTCCCCTGTTCATCCTCGACGTCGTCGTCATCGTGATGGTAGCAGCAGCAGTTGGAGCGGCATGAGGAGCTGTAGCAGCAACAGCAGTAGCAGGAGCAGGAGTGAAGTAGAAGCAGCAGTCGTGGTAGCACTGTTATCACCCGTCTCGTTGTCAGTATCAGTAGCAGCTACAAGGCTATATGCTCAGTTCCGTGGCAGAATGTCTGCAGAGCAACTCAACGCTTTGTGCCCTTCCCTGCCTCAGATCCCCAAGCGTCAACCCCAAATCTGCAAAAGTGCTGAGCTCCGAAAGCCCCCTGAAAGCCGAGTCATCCCTGCTTTTGGGGTCCTGAACCCTAAACACTAAACACTAAACCCAAAAAAAGCAGCGCAGGATCAGCGGAGGCGAGTTTGAGGTGGAGGAGGGCGGCGCCCGGGCCTGGAGCCAAGGCTCTCTTCTCTCTAGGTCTGAAGCGAGGCCTTTGAGGCTAAAGAGGTGTTTATTTAGGGGTGCCTAACAAAAAAACGGGAGCAAAACTCCTATGTGGAAGTAGCACGTGGGGTGCGGGTCATGTTCTGATGTAGAGCTCTTTCGAGCTGCCGCACTGGCTTTGGGGGGGATGCGTGTTGCCTGTTTTCCTCTGGCTCAGAGCGCTGCTGTTCCCAACCACATGCAGGATGGTTTGGCCCAGTGAGCTGCTTCATGCATGGAACTGTCTGCCTGCAGCTTCCGGGGACAGGGACGAGTTCGAAGGGCTGGCCGAGGGCCTTGTGAGACTCGAGCAGTCAGCTGAGCCGGCTGAGCCGGTGGAGTTTGATGCTCGGGTGTCCCTTCACAATGCCGTTACAGGAACCGGGGAGGTAGACCTCAAAATGTCTTCGCATGCATCGGCAGCGGAAGTTTGCGAGCTACTCTGGATGTTCTCAACCAGGACCAGTGGTTCGAAGAAAGGCGTTATGCCGCCGCGTCCGCATACTCTCCCGGTCAACTGCGCTTGATGCAGAACGACCGAGAAGTAAGGCAGGGGGAATTTGGGTTCAACAAGATACTGTGGCAAATTTGACCGCACACGGGTAATGGCTTGTCCTGTGACAGGTACGACAGGCCGCTGCAGAAAGAGGGGGAAACGGCGACTGCTTCATATTGTATCTTAGCGGAGGATGAGTCGCAACGTGCCTCGGTGCAAAATCATCGCTGCTGCCTTCATTGGTGAAGCAGTGAGCCATATGCTGCCAAACTGCCATATACTTCCATACGTACTGTGACTTCTCAAGATCCCAAGCACCTGAAGCCTACTGGCCACAATGCTGTCTAATTGGTTGTAAACACTGCAAACCCCGCATGCGCTGATTCCGAAAGTCTTTCCGAGGCCTCCTCAAGGAGCTGTCGCCCATAGAGCTCCGAAAGAAGATGGAAAAGCTGAGCAGCCGACGTTGTTGTGATGGAAGCGGAAGGCTGCTAGTCGAAAAAAAGCATGTCGCTAAAGGTGGACCTGAAGCCTGGATGTCATAGCACTTTTGTTGGCATGGTTCAACCACTAGAACAGAAGTCCGCCTCCAGGTGCTGGGGCGAGACTGTAGCCTTCGCCCGCATCCTCCGCATCCTCGGTGAGCACGCCCACGCCCTGCCCGTCACGACGCGGAGTGGCTCCAATGCAGCCGAGTCCGCCGGCTGGCTACTGGAGGCCCTAAGAGTGTCCAGTGCAGGGTGATTGAAGTTTCTACGTTCTGATTCTGATGCCCCGGCATGTGAGGTGCTTGCCGAAGCAGATTCGATGGACTCGCCGGAGGAGCTTCTAAATTATCTCTGTGAGGAGTTGGCTTGAGTCAGGCCATAGCAAGCCCAAGGAGGCTGCTTGCAAGGCAAAGCCCTCATCCTAAGCCTTCAGAGTCTTAATGCTTAGGC